TAGCAACATTAAAAAGGTTAAAAAAAAAAGCAAATGAAATTAAGTTTAGTAATATTTTAAGCCAATAAATATTATCATTTCAATAAGCTATTCAAATATGAAACATTATTATATATATTTTTAGTAAGCTCTATGCCTGCGGTGCCTGGCTGGCTTGGTTAGTACAGCATATGACTTTTGATCTTGGGACGAGTTTGGGCACCATATTAAGTGAGTGTAGTTGACTTTTTTTTTCCAGATAAATAGAAAGTGACCACGCACATGCTCATGGGAGAAGGGCAGAGTAAAAAGAGAGAATCTTAAGCAAACTCCACTCTCAGCACATAGCTGACATGGGGCTTGATCTCACAACCATGAGATCATGACCTGGGTGGAAATCAAGAGTTGGATGCTCAATGGACAGAGTCACCCAGATGCTTTTTTAAAAATTAAACTCTGGGGGCACCTGGGTGGCTCAGTCGGTTAAGTACCCGACTTCAGCTCAGGTCATGATGTCAGTTTGTGGGTTCGAGCCCGTGTCAGGCTCTGTGCTGACAGCTCAGAGCCTGGAGCCTGTTTCAGATTCTGTGTCTCCTTCTCTCTCTGGCTCTCACCTGCTCACACTCTGTCTCTCTCAAAAATAAATAAACATAAAAAAAAATTAAAAAAAAATAAATATAAAATAAAAACTAAACTCTGTGCACAACATGGGGCTTGAACTTGTGACCCCAAGATTAGTAAGAGTCTCATGCTTTACCCACTGGATCAGCTAGGTGCCCCCAAAACACAACTTTTAAGACCAAGCCCTGGTTAGTCAAGATAGAGCAAATCTAAAACATTTCGGTAGACATTCACAATATAGTTATATATATTATAGTTATAAGTATTGCTATAGAAATTTTTCCTATAATGGCTGCAAAACCTCAGGTTGACATTTAGAGATCCCTAGTATAATGTCTATACTTGTAAGTCCCTATTTTGATAACCTGCTCTGTAATATAAACCAAGTCTCCAGGTTTGGATCACCTCAGACCTGGAGTACTGTGGTAATTTACAAGAATGTTAGTTTTTTGTCTTATTTCCCCAGCAGTGTAAGGATGGTCTCAATCACAAAACAGAAAAAGCTAAGGATCACTGGGCTGTCATGTACAGTGTGCAGATTGTGCACTATATACCTCCAAGAACACCTTCACATCGTACTCTATGCAAATGCTAGCACTGGTGCATAACTTGTGCAGCTGCATAAATGAGACAGTCTTGTTTGTGATAAGTCAGTCATCAGACAAATGGGGAATAAATAAAAGTGATAGTGTGGACTCTTCTAGTGTGACTGCTTCCTACTTTTTCATTTTAATTCTCTTTATATTATAAACTTCCCAAGGTATTAAAAAAAAATAAAATTTGTGACTTATTTTTTAAAGAAAGGTATTGCTTTAATTAAGATTGTATTTGTCCGCGGGGCACCTGGGTGGCTCAGTTGGTTGAACATCTGCCTTCAGCTCAGGTCATGATCTCACGGTTCGCGGGTTCGAGCCCCACATCGGGCTCTGTGCTGACAGCTCAGAGCCTGGAGCCTGCTTTGAATTCTCTCTGCCCCTCCCCCACTCATGCTCTGTCTCACAAAAATGAATAAATGTTAAAAAAAAAAAAAAAAAAGATTGCACTTGTCCACAAAGTCTCTCATGCTAACTCAAAGATTCCTGCTTATCTGTCAATATTCTGAACATGAGAAAATAAGAAAAGAAGGCAGGATTCACAGACTCCAGACTGGGAAATTATTTTGTAAACAGCAGACTGAAAGATACAGCTCTGTAAAAATATAAAATATTTATACAACAAATGTATTATAAACCAAGTTGAAAGGCAAGTGGTTGAATGGGAGAACATATTTATAAAGATATGTTAACATAAAAAGTTCTGCAGTTCAGTCCTTAAAAAGAAATTATCCATGCCATAAAAATCTACAAATAATAATTTGTTGGGGCACCCAGGTGGCTTAGTCAGTTAAGTATCTGAATCTTGTTTTTGGCTCACGTCACGATCATATTTATCATGAATACACTTCACATTTTCATGTTTAGATCGGGAAAAACGAAAACGACTGATTATGATTAGAACCTGTACTTTTTAAAATAGTTTATTCAAGAGTGAACAAGCATAGGCACAAGGGGGGAAGGTGCAGAGAGAGTGGGAGAGAATCCCAAGCAGGCTCTGAGCTATCAGCGTGGAGCCTGACAGGCTCAATCTGAAGAACCATGAGATCATGACCTGAGCCAAAACCAAGAGTTGGATGCTTAATTGACTGAGCCACCCAGGTGCTCAACCTGTACTTTTTAAAAAGTAAACTCTATGCCCAAAGAGGGTTCCAAGTCATAACCCTGAGATCAACAGGTGCATGCTCTGCTGAGTGAGCCAGTGAGGCACCCCAGATTCTGTATTAGTAAGAGTTTAGATTAAAAAAAAAAAAGGGAAAATGTAATTGTTGCCCAGTGAAAATTTATACACCATTTTGGGCTATTTCAGACATACTAATATAAAAGATATATATGTATTTTTAACTGTTAAGTAGGCTCCATGCCCATCATGGGGCTTGAACTCATGTTCTACCAAAGGAGTCAGCCAGGCACCCCTAAAAGATATCTTTGTCCCAATTCCTATTCCAGAAATCTATCCTGCAAATACATTTCAATAAGGTGGACATGATGTTCATTGCAGCATTGCTCTTAGTAGTAAAAAAGCAGACAACTACTTGTCCAATAGAAGCATGGTTAAATAAACTACAGTACATCTCTACCATAACATGGAAAACATTGGCTAGAAAGAATAAAATAAGAAAAGGAGAAAGGCGGGAAGGTGGTTAAGAAGGGAGGTATCACAGTTGTTAAATGTGTGGTCTTTAGAATAAGAGAAACTGAACTTAAATCTCAGATTAGGTATTATAACCTTGACAAGTGCTTTAGTTTCAACAACTACTAACAACAGACAATGACCAATGAGTGGTACTGAGCTACTGTAAGGTGCTTAAATAAAATTAGTTTTGCAGTTAAGAAACTAAATCCCACCAAAATACATAAAGACAGGTACATAGCAAGCACTTACAAAAAAAAAGGAATGTGAACACTGAGAATCAGCAAGTTGAGTAAGAAAATATCCTTCATTGGAGCAAACTGTAACATCCATCCTGGGGGTACATCTTGAAACACATATTCAATTTAACTCAATTAAACAAATATGTATTAAACAATTACTATGTGCTAAGTGTTAGATAAAAAGGAAATTCACTTACCAACCCCCCCCCCCACCCCCCCACCAAATTAAAGGTTCATAGAAACCTTGGAAGGTCAACTCAATTATCATGAGTAAGCTTTTAGGAATGTATCTCACATAATCTGGAGCTACTTGTTACATTACTTACATAGTATCATGATTATGTTGGCTTGTGGGTCTTCCCCAAGGTTGTAAACTGCTCAAGGGCAGGATGCCTTACCTTTTATTTGTAGCTGTTTGTCAGGGTCAAATGTGTAGCAAAGACTAAGTATTTCTTTAATTAAATGAATTAAAGAATAAATAGAAGAATGAATGAATGGGGTTTCTCCTCCACCTTTTCTGTTTGTCCTAAGGAGTTACCTAACAAAGTATAACTTTTATTACTTATTTTTGCTTACCATCTCTAACTACTGCTGAACTATAAGGTCCATGGGAGAGAGATCTTTGTCCCAAGTGCTAAAAGTGTCCAAAGAGATTTGCTGAATGACCACTTATCTTGTTTTAAAAACTGCCAAGGGGAGAATTTCTTAAATTTTACTTAATAACCCTTCCAAAGTTACCTTAAGACCGTCCTCACTGAGACCAACTGAATCCTTTAAACATACATCCATCTGTTGACTATTCTGGATCAACTGAAGCATATTTAGTCATAATCTTCATAATAAGGTTTAGTAACTATTTACAGATATTTTTTTCCCTCCATTACAGTGTGTGTACGTTAGCTTTCCTTTATAGAGAAAAAAAAGGGAACGGGTCAGTGGGCAACTTGCCAGATACCTGTTTTTAGTATTAATAAACTGCTGTCACCTCAACCAGTGAGGCAGCCAATCTCCTCAAATCCCTGGCCCACAGAAGTAGTTTCCTGACTGTAGGTCTTCTACAATTAGGCACCAAATGAGGCCCTCACTTCTGGATAAAGCTGATGGAACTACAAATGGTTTCTAGCCCAAGGAAATGAACCCCATGGCTGTTTTTAATATTCTGATAGGGGATCAAGATGCCAGTCATGAAAAAGCCCTGTAGATTCAGTTCTGAGAAGGACTTAAAATACTCCAGTCTGCCACTTTCCTGAATAAAATGATAGAGTTCAGTTATGCCCAAGGCTGATTCTGAGAAGATGTTTTTTCTCCCTGTGTTCAGAGCATCTGGTACATTTTACTTTGGTTAAGCAAAATCAAATGTTTAACTTCATTTATGAAAAACAAACTCAATACTTTTAAAAGTTTAATATTTTAATTGGACAGTTCATATGGCCTATTCAGTGGAAGCTCACATAAGCAAAGTGCAATGAACAGAATGAAGTATCACACATAAGTCTCTGTATAAGTCAACATGAAAAGATATCCTAGATATTTGAAATGGAAAAAGCAAACTATAAAACAAGTACAGTGAGTCTACTGTCAAACAGATTTTCTTAAACTATTTGTGTAGTATTATTTTTGCAAATATTTTGTTTTTTGTAATATAAAAACAACAAAATCAATGATAATGTTCAAAACATTTACTAATTATTTTGAGGTTGATTTGTAGAAGATAATTTCAGCAAATAAGACGTTTAATGTAAAACTGTGGGTATATGATGTACTTGTCTCAAAAAAAAGTCTTATTTACAAGTTAAGGAACAAAGGTATTTTTTTTAATTAACGTAGGTTTCAGAAAAACATTCTTTATTATTGACTACCATAATAAAATGGATTTCCTAAGAAAAGTTCAAGTAATCATTGAAATCTTAAGAGGTGAACCAAAAGTGTTTTTTAATCATATTCAGAAAATCTAATATGTTTACTTGCTTGTTGAGTCTTTGCCAGTCTAATCTTCTCAGCTTTGGTGATTAACTATGGAGAAAGAAATTAGAAATCAGAATGTACCGGATGCTTAAAAAGATAATTACGACTAGAAAAATCAGGTTGAATAAAAATTTTTTAAAAGAGGGAAAGGTAGACAAAAGACATAAATTAAGCGTAGCCCAAATCAATATAGAAAGAACTGTTCAGGATTATGGCTTATTAAGTATAATAGATAATAAATCTTAGAATTACCTAAAACACTCAAATTTTAGTTTCACATTACTAAAAAATTTTCAGTTGAAAACAGCCACTCCATGCTGGCAATTTTTTTTAACCTTTTAGGAGGGTTCAAGACCCATACTGGTTAGTTGTTTCATATCCCCTTGGACTTGAGTATTAATTACTAAGAAATTTCTTAAAAGATATGTGATCCTAAATAATTATATTGTGCGTGCGAATTCATGCATTATTGGAATGAGACAATATATTTTGGTCTGAGTGCTACACAAAGGTTTGCTTACAAATCTGAAGATTAAAATATTCTACCTAGGGATCCACTCTTAAGAGAACTTATTACTTACCACACCCTTACATAAATACTTTAGTATTTTTTTTTTTTTTTAATTTTTTAACATTTATTTATTTTTGAGACAGAGAGATACAGCATGAATGAGGGAGGGTCAGAAAGAGGGAGACACAGAATCTGAAACAGGCTCCAGGTTCCGAGCTGTCAGCACAGAGCCCGACGCGGGGCTCGAACTCACAGACGCGAGACCATGACCCAAGCCGAAGTCGGCCGCCCAACCGACTGAGCCACCCAGGCGCCCCAATACTTCAGTATTTTTTAAAGGCAAATGAAATTGTATGGAATGTAGAAGACCGTTTAAGATGTCTAAATATTCCAAAAGTTTTCTTGATGTAAAAAATTTAAATATCTTATTGTAGCTTTGGAGGAAATGAAAATCTTACTCCCTTAAAAAATAGATTCTAGGGGCTCCTGGGTGGCTCAGATGGTTGGGCATCCAACTTTGGCTCAAGTCATGATCTCATAGCTCGTGGGTTTGAACCCCACGTCAGGCTCTGTGCTGACAGCTCAGAGCCTGGAGCCTGTTCTGATTCTGTGTTTCCCTCTCTCTCTGCCCCTTCCCTGCTCGTGTTCTATCTCTCAAAAATAAACATCAAAAAATAAAAAATAAAAAAAATAGATTCTAGTAATTATTCACCAGTTTCGTTAAAATGTTTTGTGACTGTGGCCATTGGTAGGAAGTCACTTTTATTTATTGTTTAGTTTCTTAAAGTGTTTGCTTAATATTAAAAGTTTACTTAAAAGTTAAAGTAGAAGTCAGCATAGAGATAGACCGGCTACACAAGTTAAAAATACAAGTACTTAAAAACAAAAACTCAAAAGATGCCAAGGTCACCAAACAGTCTGTTTATGATAGAAAACAGTAATAGCCACATGAGGACCACATTCACAAAAGTCATCAGCAAAGCCATAACCAGGGTTTATATCTATGGAAGTAAAGGTTTATGGGATATATTTAAGATTTTATTACCATGGAAATGAAATTAGGGTGCCCCTGTATTTGTTGTTTTTGTACAAAGTCACTTCAAGATTAAACCAAAAGCCTGTTCCTCATTATAATTTCATGAATTCTGTCTTTACCTGTTGAATATCTGATATATCAGTAATTTGTAGAAAAAAGACCATGCTAACTAAATTTCAAATATGCTTTAAAAGCTAAGGATGAATGAGAAAAGACTCATTGTCTCCAGTAGCTGTTACTGCATTTTACCCACATGCTGAAAGTGATAGGGAAGACTACAAAGGCTACAAAGACTCGCCAGAAGGAATGAGCCCCTTTCTGGGGGACGCTTCCTCATCTTACTAATCTTTTGTGAGAATTTACCCATATTGATCTCTATATGTAAAAAATACTACCATGAGTACAAAACACCTTTTTTCTTCACCTATTCTCCTCTTTTAATATTGCATAAACTGACTGGGACTTAGGAAACTGTCCCTAGTTTCCTTCTGCTCCCCGACATGAAAATGCAGAACGAAGATTCATTACCAGTGCTTTTCTTCCTTCGCTCATGGACCAAACACTACAATACTACTGGGAAACTTTGAACTGTCCTATCAGAAAAGCGCTAACGTCATACTTTTTTAGCCGCTAATTTTTTTCTAAATATTTAACTTCCGTTACTATGGTGCTTGCTCCCAGGGATCTAGCTGTAGTGGCCTCCTTCCCTTTAAGGCTTCTGTGCTTTCTGGTGCCTCTGCCTGGAAAGCCATGCATTTAAGCTCTCCTGCTTGTATGCTCACTTTCCTAAGGTCTGCTCTAGTGTCGCTTTCACAGAGAACTTCCCAGAACCTCATGTGATGTAAAGATATCTCACAATACCCTTTAATTTGCTCTTTATACACAGCATTTGTCATCACCTGACCTAAACTGTTCATCTGCAAACTTCACGAAAACAGGGTATTTTGTTACTTGCAGCTATTTCCTAGAATGGTGGCTAACACAAATCAGCACTCAAAAAATATTAATTAAATGAATTATCAAAAAGGTAGACTGACATACTAATTACTGTGTTTTCTGAAAAGTATGTACAATACCCACTTTGTGTGGTACCTTATTTTAATTATATGACGGGAGCCAACTAGCTACTTTCACATCTTCAGCTAGAATCCTATACTATTTATCAAACAAATCATGCTAAGGACAAGACTGGTGGTGCAACAGATAAATGAGATCAGGAAAAAACTTTCCAACTCAGTAACAGAGGCACTCATTGTGTTCCAATGAAACTTATAAAATTCCCCAGTCATTGTTTATTTCCTTGCCTCAAGTTTATTTATGGAGATTGGATCTTTCTGAAAAACAAAACTAATTCCTAGTTTTAAAAACATATACGATTTAAATGAAATTTCACACCAATTAGAATGGTAAATACTATTTAACAAAGTGATTTCATTTTAGTTATGAGCTCTGGTTCAATGATTTTAACATTTAAATAATCTCAAGCAGGCTTTGAAATTACCACCTCTTAGACCTGAAAGAATCCTTAGGGAGGAAGGAGGCCTTCCCACATTTCAGCAAATTCAGTCTGTATTCATGGAAACAGAATTAACAAAGACCAGTAGGAAACCTCCCTTCAAATCATCTTAAATTCCAGTGAATCCTTGGCAATGCAAGGCCAATGAAAAACACTCAACAAACCTAGCACACAGGAAGTATTATGATTTTAAGTGTAACCAGTCATAGAAGAATGCATATCTTTTTAGATTCTTATTTAATAATACACATTTAAAAATTTTATAATAGCATTAGTTATTATGTACCCTTAATTTGTTCTAAGCACTTAAAGATGTACTACTATTTATAATAATCTGATTAAAAAGAATAAACGTGACAGCACACAAGCAACAAGTAGTAAATTACTCACTATCATTTAAAATGAAATTATTGAAACAGAGTCTATTTTACATTATTTAAAGTATTTAAGCTTGTTTGTTTCACTTGACTACTATAGAGAAAAAGGAATAAAGCTTATCATTGCTATAACAAACATTAGGCATAAAGTCTCCCAATCTTATCTGTGGGGGGTCATATCTTAAAAAACTACACTCTTAAATACATTGTGTTTTTACCATTAAGACAATCTTTAAATAATCATTTACTACCAAACTATGATACATAGCAGCCAGAATTCAACACTGTTGAAATTAAACTGCTACTAACAGGTACAATAAAAGAAAGGAAAACAAGAAAACTCTAAATTAAAATTATGTACCCTGTGGGGAAAATAATTCTAATTTCGTATATTTCAAAATGCAGAGAAACAAGTATTGTCTCTCACAATTTAAAATGCAGTATACACCATGTAAATCTTTATCGTGTATAGGAAAACCAAGGTTATTTTAGGACTACACATTACTGACTTCCAGAAAACATTCAACCTATTATATTTAAGCTATCAAACAACTATAACAAAAAACAAAAAAATGAATTGATTACCTTCTCAGTGCCTCTTTTCTTTTCACGAGGCTGATTAAGTTTGGCCTGCCTATCTACCAAAATCTTCTGCCAATACCTCTGCTCATGATCACCTTGAAAACAAAAACAATAATCACTGATACAAATGAAGAAACATATTCAAGGCATTAATCACACTTCAATAATAAATCTATAGTTGTCTGATTAAATACTACTTTGTACATGCTAGAATATGAATAAAAAGTTTATTAATCAAAATCAGAAAACATAGTGCAATCACCTCTAAGTAAGAGTTATTAAAAAAGACTCTGACGTCTTACCAGAAAGGATCTCGAGATTCCAGCAGTGTTTCTTTTTAATTTCCGTATATGCGTTTATTACTGCTTGAGCATCCTCAGGGGTTTTAAACCTAGCATGGCATTCTGTATCTCCTTCTAGCAAGTCCACATAAACAACTTCTGAGATTGCTGCCAAAGTATCCTGCATTAGAGTTCAGAAAGATTTTACATAAATAATAGAAATGTTTGATAATAATTATAAAATTATTCCCATGGTTGTGTTAGAATGTGTTACATAAATAAGCCATATCCAGTTTAAAATGAGGAGTAACTATCCTACTTATCATACACAGGGGTGCCTGGCTGGCTCAGTCAGTACAAGTTAGGTGACTCTTGATGTAGGGGTTTTGAGTTCGAGCTTCATGTTGAGGGTAGAGATCATTTACATAATCTGGGCTAGAACTCACAACCCCAAGATCAAGAGTCATAAACTCTCTTGACTGAGCCAGCCACGCACCTCTAAAATATACACAAATACTCTTAAAATTGATTTGGACAAAGTTGAAAACTCTAATCAAACCCTTTTTTTCAATCACAATCTTAGAATATTAACTAGCATAGGACTACTACAGAGAGACAACAGATTTATAGAGCAGGATGTACAAATAATTTCCCCTAGCCCCCACATCAAGAAGGGGATTACAAGTCACGGTATAGTTAAAATAAGGAATACAATTAAAAACAAACAAAAAACCCAGAATGGATTGGGGGAGAAGGTGCGTTTCCACTTATCTGTACAAAATTCCTTATGACTTAAAATATATGAAAAAAAATTCAACTTTTTCTAACAACTTGTGAAAAAAAACATTTCATGGGAGCCTACAAAAATCCTAGGTTCCTGAGTAGATCTATGGGAATATAGCTCAAGAGTTCATACTTTCTGATGAAATACCTCAACAATCTCTTCTAAACAAGTTGTGGTCCCCCAGCAAGGAAAAGTTTTACCTATAATGCCTGCTGTGAGGGCAAATTAACAAGATTCCTGCATTCCTAACCATTTCTTCCCAGCATGTTCTGTGGTGTAAACAATGCAATTATGCAGGAATGTTATATAATTCTTCATTCATCAACTTCCATTCAGAAAACCAAAGAAATTACTAGAGATTCCCAACTTAAAAAAAAAAAAGCCCTTTACGCATCTGGCTTTACTTTTGACCCAAATTTCAAGCCTCAAAGAATTTAGATTACTTTTAGATGTTGGATTTTTAAGGTCTGAATTCTGTAACTGAGCAGTATTCTGGAAATATTATTTCACCACAATATAAGAAAAGTTTATTAGTTAATAATAAAGAATAAGCAATAAAAACCTGAGAAGCCAGGGAGTATTAACTCAACCCTACTCTTAGCATATTGCCTATCTCAAAATTGGCACTTATTGATTGCTAATTACATGAAAAAAATAGAACTGGAGGGAAATATACTTGCCAATTCTTTCCACTTGTACTTGAGTACTAAATTTAGAAAGCAAGACAAATAATTGGTATGAAGTTAATGAAATGTGAATATATTAACTGGTAGTGTTTTGTAACTGACTTACCAGATAGACCCGATTACTACAATTCAAAATATTACCTATATATCCATTATAATGTTAGGCTAATCCCAGGACTTAAAACCATTCCTTAAAATGATAAATTAGCCTGGTAATCACATGGGCAAGTTAAATAGCAGTAAATACCATAATAACTCCATTTTTGTTCCGGCAAAATGTAAGTAACTACTAACTTTTAACAATGTTATGATTTTGTAAGTAATTTTTAACTGATATATTATCTTTTAGATAACAAAAGCTCTTTGATGAATATTACTGAATCTATGTTATTTCAAATAACAAACTTTTTCTAATTTTTCTTTTAAATCTTTTGCAACCTGATTAACCACAGCTTCATTTACATCCTCAGTTTTTTACCCTTCTGATCTGAAATTCTGTATTGTTACCATACTCTGAAATATAAGTTGGTAATACCAATTTGGGATTCACCACATCCCTCATCAACATCTTAAAGAGAATCTAAATTTATGTTAGTGACAGCTACAGGATTTTACAGGAAACAGGATTTCAGATAAAGTGTTCACAAGCTTATTTCAGTGAGCAACTTCAATGGTCATGCAAGTTAAAAAAATGTGACTGGTAGGAGTCTATGCAAAATCAAAACAACATACTAGATGATGATGAATGTCAGCATAACAATTGAAAATATATTTGCTATGAAAATATATATGCTATTTTACATAGGAATATGTCAATAATAAAGAAATATGGTTGTGCTGTTACAAAACGCTGTTAGAAGATCAAATAGATAAAGTGAAAAAAGACTGCAGAGCAATAGATATAACAATGTGTACTGTAAATTATATAGGACTCCGTATTTATTTGTACACGCATACAAAATTTTTGTAGCTTTTCAAAATATTTTACACTTTTCTGTAATTGTTTCACATTTTTAAAAATTGTTTCACATTTTTAAACAATCAGTGCAGACTGAAAATAGCAAAAAAAATTAATAAATAATATTAACGAAATATTTTTTCTCCAAAAATATCTTCCATTTCTTCCAGGAAAAAATTTCAATTTCCAAGAGGATTAACAGACAAAATTACTAAATTTACGTTAAGTTAAAAAATATGCATATAATATCCCCTTTGTTCCAAAATAGCTCTGACTTTCTTTAGGTCACAAAATCTTTTGGGAATCTACTGGAAATTAAGAGCTCTAATGAAAACGAATTATGTTTGCTACAAAATCAGACAACAACAGATGATTAAAAATTCGTAATAACTTCAGACCAACTCTAACGTTGACTAGATATTTAATACATTTTAGCATGAAATATTTTCTAAAATAAATTTTCTCTGAAAATAGATGTCCCTTAAAGGAATACCAGGAAAGCATTTTACTAATTTATTCTTTTAAGTTATAATGACTATAGTAAGGCTTACTCATTCAACTACTCAATCAATCGTTAACGGCACCAATAAAAATAAGCCAAGTGCAGTTCTACTGAAAGATGTTTTAAACTGAGCTCACTGCAAATTTCATCCAGCAGGGAATTTCAGACTTCAGATTTTGCTTCAAGTCAAATACAAGAGTTACGGTAGAATCAAATCTAGACATAGTTTATTGCAGAGGAACAAATTCTAATTTTACTTGCTTTGTTTTCCATATGCAAAACATTTTCACATGGGGAAGTTTTAAAAAGGAAAGAGCAACAACTATCCTCAACACACAAAAGCATTACCCTGACTTGTTTCCTGCCAGGCAGAGGCTCAGTGCTAATGATCTTCACAATCACGCCACTGACAAACTGTGGTCCTGTTGCATTAACCTTTTCCTGGGGACAACACTCTTCACTGTTTGCTGTTGATTTGAAAAGGAAAGAGAAATAAGCCTCTTACACTCAGTAATTTAGTAGGCCCACTTTAGAAGAACAACAGTAATTTCTTCAGCTGATTTAAGTAACCAATTTTAATTTACTTAATGTAACTGTAAAATAAGTTATTCTGGTGTCATACTGCTTACTGCAGATTACCATGAATAAAAATACCCAAACCTTTACTACTCTAATTGCAGAGCCTGGTTAGAACACTTGTAAAACCTTAGAAAAAACTCCCCCTTTTTCTTAACCAAATAATAGAGTACTTTACTTAGTAAACAGACACAGAACAGTATGTTAACATTCAACAAACATTATAATTAAAATGTGAAAATTTAAGATTTTCAATTTGTAAGAATTCCAAATATGTCCTAATAGGATAAAATTACAGACGGAAATTGTAATTTTTCTTTCTACAAACTTGCTCAATTGATAGACACTCATCACTAATTCTGATTAATAAAAACTGTAGAGAAAACTTAAGTAAAAAAGACACTTTCTTTTTTCTTTTTTTAATTTTTTTAAATGTCAAGGGCTTGAATTACAAGGGGCTTGAACATAGGACGCAGATCCAGAGACACATGTTCTACTGAGCCAGCCAGGTGCCCAGAAAAACAGGAGTCATGGAAACGAGCACTTCAAATATTCTTATATCAAAAATAAATTGCACATTTAAGTTTTTAAAAATTAAGGTTTATCCTGTAACTCAGAAATAGTACATTAGTATATAAACACAATACAATACTACAAAAACTATTATAGTGGTATTTACTTTTTTCATTTTCTATTCCAGAGTTAGGAGCTACTCCATTTGTTTCCATTTTTGACTCCGATTTTATTTGGGATATTGTTTTTTTTAAAGAAGACATGCTGGCTTTTTGCAGTGCTAAATACTCTTTTTTCAAATCCATCCATTCGCTCCTGTAACGAAAAGAATGTACTTTTGAAATAGTGAAAAAAGATGGTCAAATAAAAAGTTATTATCAAAGTATATACATTCACAGTGCCTTGTAATCTTTTCCTTCTTCAAACACATACATTCACACTACTTCTGGAGTCCTAAGTCCATCCAGTAAATATATAAAGGGGAGTTCCATCTGACCCAACATTCAGATTAAATGTTTTAAATTTGACAATTCAATTCTTGAGTATGTTTCAAATATTTTCATTTATGAAAATAAAAGTTTTGAATTAATTAACTAGTAACAATTAGTCATCACTAGGGGGAAAATGGCAGATTACTATTTAGAGATTATTTGTTAAACTGCTTCCAATTTGGGAGATAACATTCCTTAGCATTTACTTGACTCAAAAGGAATTTCTAAGAAGAAAAAAAACGCCCCATGGAAGCAATTTATTTATTTACATGCATTTAACATGTAGATGTTTCTTCAAACAGCTAGAGCTCCTCCAGATAGAAACACAATGCCTCTCCAGGCTCCACAGGAGCACTCATTGTTACTCTAATCTATGCCATCAAACAAGCAGATAGGGTTTTTTTTTTTTTTTTTTTTAAAGAGGATATCTTGTGGTAATGGTCTTAGCTGTTATTATTGACATCTGTATACTTCAAAAAAAAAAAAAAAAGTATCCAGACCCACCCAGGATCATACATTCCCAGAGAGCTGATACATTAGAATAACAAAAACCTCTTGTAATGATTCTCTGAGATAAAAAGGCAAGAGGAATTCAGCAGTTAAGAATAGTATAAATACAAGTGCCTGAAGTCCTTGCCTTTTAACCTTCAAGAGGAGGACAGGGCACTTCGAGAGTACAATTCAAGAAGGATCAGAAAAACTTTCTTGGCAAAGGTATGGTTTTTTGCCTTTTCTTTTCCTACATGGCTTCCGCTTCTTGTGTGGATGGACTCCCTTTAACTTTAACATGGAAGTACTTTCTTTGACTTTTAAATAGTAAGTGCTTCCATGTTTTAGTAGAAGTGAATCCAAATCATTCCTCTGAATGTAACAAGGCAAGTTCCTTATATAGCCCAAGGGGAGTCCCTTTGCTTTAACATGGGGGTACCTGCTGTGTAAAACAAAAGTAAGTGCTTCCATGTTTCAGTGGAGGTATTCCCAAATGGACACAACTTTTATCTTGATCCGGCATCTTCTAAGCTTACTTTACAGGTTAAGGAATGGTAACTTTTTCACATTTTTACAAGACTGGGCTCCCCACCACTTAAACGTGGATGTACTTGCTTTGTATCTAAAAAAGTAAGTGCTTCCATGTTTTAGTGATGGTAAGTCTTACTTTTACATTTTAGAAACTTATAAGGCTTAATTTAAGCCTCACCGAAATGACCATCTATGGTATATTTAAGCTGTACCCTTAAAACTGTTAAGGAACGCCCTCTACTTTAACATGGAGACACTTGCTGTGACATGATAAAAATAAGTGCTTCCATGTTTTAGTGTGGTGGTTCCTTTCAAATCCTCAACTGCCTTATATCCATTGTATGTGCAGATCTTGGCTACATGCCATGACTGTTGCTAATATGCAACTCTGTTCAATACAACTTGGAATTGCACTTTAGCAATGGTGATGGCGTGTGCCAATTTTCAACTACAGAATCTGTATCGTCTACTTACTTTGAAAGTACTCTTAAGGGTATAACCTCTTCTCCCATTTTGTGCCTCTCTTTGTGTTTTTTCTTATGCTTCCTTTTTGCTTTTAAAAGGGATCCATCTTTTGCATCTCCAGTATCCTTTTCCTCTTCAGTAGAGACTTCTAAATCTTAATATCAAAAAGTTAACTTTAGGTAAATAAGGATTCCTTAATCTCTCATTTTAATTTAATTGTAGATAAATTAACCTTGAAGTTGTCAATACCTTTGTTTTCTTTGGGAACTTCTACATCTTCTTTTTTAATGTTGTCTTTCTGCGTTATTTTCTTTACTTTTGACCTGGGAGTTGGGTGTTCTGCTTCTTCAGAGATACTTCTCTTCCTCTTCCCCGTTCTGACTGTAGGTAAGCTGGATGCTTCTGCTCTTTCCCGTTTTTTCTTTTTCTTAGACGGTGGCTTCTGGGGTTCAGTAATCTCTACTTCAGATCCCTCAGATGTGGTCCTGGATCTTTTCATTTTTCCTACAGTCTCTTTACTTGTGTCAATATTTGACTCTTTGGTCTGGATATTGTCCTCTTTCTTCATTCGGCCTTTCTTCTTCTTCTTCTTTTTCTTTTCTTCTGTAACAATGTTATCATTAGTGTTCATTTTAATTCAACTACGTTTACTTAAATATCAATATTAAGTTACCTGATACTCCAAGGACAGGAATAGGCTTATTTTTTACTGTCTTAGGAAATATGCCAGGTTTTCTTGGTGCTTCTTCTGGTGGGTTGTTAAGAAACTGAAAACCAATAAAATTTTGTTACTATTTAAAAACACTTGCTAATTGTCTTTGCTTTTCTTTTTAGGTTCGGGACCTACCTCAATAGCTTTCGCTGCTTGTTCTTTTGTTTCAAATTCTACAAAGGCAAATCCCTTTGGATCTCCAGTAGATTTATAATGTGGTATACTTATATAAACAACATTGCCACATTTCCCAAATACTCTTTCAATCCAGCTGTGATTAACATTTTTGGGAAGTAATTCCTATAAGTGAGAAGCAATATTAAAATAGAAGAACTTTTTCAGGGTCAATAAATTTTTACTTGTAATGTTAGAATGTTTCTGTCATTCTTTTGAATGCCAGCACTGAGCTTTTAGAAAATAAGGTCTCACCACATACATACCACATACACTGTCCGCTCATCCTCATCTTTTGGTCGTTCACCTAAAGGCTTTTTTCTCCTGATTCTGGTGCCTTCTAAGTCCAGCTATGAAATAGTTACATGAGATTAATAATTGACATAATAATTCCATGATATAGTTGTAATAATTCTTACCTCTACAACAGATGAACTTTTCAGTGCTCTGGCTATTAACTTTCCATCTGTGGTCAATTTTTTCATTTTGTTGAAAGACACGAGAAGTGATATATCAACATCTAATGGAAATGCATAAGTTAGTATTACAGAATAATTGCATTTTGGTAAAAAATTAATCACATTTCCCTCCTTTCAAAATTAATTAGTAAAATGCCTTATGAGAATTAATGCACTAAGCACACAGCATTCAAGAAAACTCAACACTGAAAACTTTGCTCACTGAAAACTGAGCTTGCAAGGAGCTCAACCACACAAACATGGAGCCTGGGTGGCTAGTTAGGTTAAGCCTCCGACTTTAGCTCAGGTCATAATCTGCTCTCAGCACAAAGCCTGCTTGTGAACCCCTGTCCCCATATCTCTGCTCTATCTCTAAGATAAACAAAAAAATATAGGATGTGTGTCTCCAGAATTAACTGAAATCTTTGTCTTTTAACACTAGAAATCTGTCTTCTAAAGCAAAAGTGAGCTATAATAGTTTTCACGTGTAAAAACTAATGGATTTGTATGTATAGTATATGGTATATATCACAATACAAAATATGCTACCATTGTATTTATGGTAAACGTTGTACAAGTTTATTGTATTTATGGTAAACGTTGTACTTAGTTTAAGGCAATAACCCTCTAAAACTAGTTCCATTCATTATACAGTGAAGTAAACTTACATCCATCTCTGGACTTTTCTATTTGTTCTCGAAGAAATCTATCCTTGTGAAGATTTGCATCTCCAAACCAGAAATCCACTTGCTTAGCAATATCTGCAAGCACTTGTTTAACTCGTGACCGTTTCTTTTTTTCTACTTCTTTTTTCTTTTCAGGGTTTTCTTCTTCCATTGCTTTTTCTTGATTTCCACTTTCAGCTTCCATTCCTGTGTACTGAAAAAAGGTTTATATCACATGTAATAGGAAAATATTTAGGTTACCCTTTTTATTATCTGAAGGCTTAATAGACTCATTCAGCTGGCAGAGAACAAACTTTGAGTTAACACTTGTAATTAGCTGAGAAAACTTTCATTGTGGTTTTTTTTTAAATCTCTTACCTGTTCACTTTTCATTGGCCTTTTTACTTTCAAAATAATTTACAACCTATGTCATTAGTTAGCTTAAGCTTTTGATGCATTTTAGTTCAGAGCCAGAATGTTCTAGTATAGCATAAAATCTCTACCAACATCTATATCTCACCAAAGTACACTTCTAAATCAATATGTCAAATTATAAGATTAAAGTCTCAGGCATTCTCCATCTTAACAAACTAAAAAATACAATCTCCAATGAAATAAGTTGATCTTGGTTTTGATTTTTAAGTGTTTTTGTTTTCAGTGTTTTCTCAAGTAATCTACACCCAAAGTGGGGCTTGGGGGCTTGAATTTACAATCCTGAGATCAAGAGTCCCATGCTCTATGGACTAAGCTAGCCACGTGCCCAGAAATGTTAATTTCTGTTCATTAGAAACAGAACTGGCTTTCTCTTTTCCAGGTGACCTTCCCATCCCAGTGTTTATTTCTTGGGACAGCAAACCTCTTTCCTTGAGTTACTTTGCATGTATCTTCTTTGTTATCTAGCTTTTCCTAAAACCTGGTTATCTAGCTCGTCCTGAAACTGGTTTTCTAGCTCTTCCTAAAACCTGGCTGGCAAATCTTCAACTGAGGGCCTTCTGAATTTGCAGTTCCCTTCCAAACACTTGCTGCCTAGATAACATGGCTTGCTCCCTCACTTACTAAAGTCTTGTTCAAATGTCACTTCATTTAAAACTGCAAATTTCTGGATACCTGTATCTCCCTTGCCTTACTTTTCCTTCATTGCACTTATCTTCTAACATTATTGTACATTTAAAAAAATGCTTATTTGTTTTTAGGAGTGGTGAGGCAGAGAGAAAGGGAGATAGACAATACTAGGGAAGCTCCTCAAAGCCTGACATGGGGCTCAAACTCATGAACCGTGAGCTCATGACCTGACCTGGAAGTTGGATGCTCAACTAACTGAGCCACTCAGGTGCCCCTACTGTACATTTTTATTTATCCTTCCTAGAATGTAATATTAATGAAATCAGGTTTTTGTCTGTTTTGTTTACTGATGAATTCCCATTCCCTGGCACACAGTAGTCACTCAAAAATTTGTTGAATGAATTGTGGCCTCTTCACTGAACCACTAGAAGTACATACACAAAAAGAAGTAAATGAGCAAAGGCTTATTAAATCGGGCCTGCGGTGAGATTTATCTCTGTAACATAGTTTTCCCATATTTTATTTCCCAGGCTCCCATAACTGTTTTCTTGGGACACAGGAGAGTGAAGACATATGGGGAGAGTTTTATCTGATTGCACCAGGGTGGGAGCCACTACTGGTTGGTATGCAGGCCTTGGACCTATGGACCAGAATGGCATACTAGATTGATGGGAAACAGGGGCTAAGGCTTTTACACATCAAGGTGACCTAAAACATTCTGGTCCGTTATCTATGGAAGTCACACACGTCTGTTGTAATGTAAAGGGGGGAAAAAAGTGGATTTGGATTAACTGCTCAGTTTGAGTAAGTGCTGGGGCCGAGACTCCAGATGAGATGAAGATGCTGTCCCTACTGTATCTTCTGTCTTTATCCTTCTTTAAAGTTCAGTGTACATAGTATTAAAGCCTATTTCTGTCTCTTTGGCCTGTCAGCTGGAATCAGTTACTGAGCACCAATGCTGCAGACAGTAATAGAAATGGAAAATGTGTTTCAAAGTGACACCCAGTAAGAGAGTACAAGCCATTAATGCATGTTCAAATCTCCAACTAAACATGCAATCTCACAAAAATCAGATGAGTATTTTGGCATTTTCAGAACAGGCTGGAGCTGACTGACCAAGTACCAATTTTGAAAATATACAAGTAATGAAGTATTTATTGAGATACTTATAAAAGAGTTACTTGTCAGAATTAATCATTAAAAAAAAAAAAAAACAAAAAAAAACAAAAACCAATCAGGTGTCATTTAGTGCTGAATAACCACATTCTTTAGCCCATTCTGTGAAGCTTCCCTTTCCATCATTCTAGTGAAACTGAAAACAGTGATCTCCACTGACTACTGGACCCCTAAGCAGCTCTTGCAGTCAAACTCCCTCTTTGAAAATATTTTCTTCATCTGGCTTCCAGGAGAGTTTTCCTCCTTCTCAATTTCCTTTTCTGGACCATTCTACTCTGCTCTACCTTTACATGCTACCCAGAATTGAATTCAGTCCTGGGCTCCCTTCTTATCTCCACACATATCCTTTCCCAGGCTTTACGCTGTTTAGCTCTATGCTGATGTTTTACAAATCTATATTCTCCAGCCCTTACTTCTCCCATTAGCTCCTCCCATTCCAATATTCAATCATCCATTTGACATCTTCACTTATCTTCCTGAACTATATATATCTCATGTGGAAAATGGCAAAAACCGAACGCTCAAATTTTAACAAACCTCTTTTTGCCTTGTTTTCCCCATTCTGGAAAACACCAATCACAAAACTGTTGAGAGCAAAAATTCTGAAATCCTCCTTCTTTTCCTCATATACCACAACAAATCCATTAGCATTTTTGTTAGCTCTACCTTTATAAAATATATCCTGAATATGAATACTTTTCATTTATCACCTGGTTCATGCTATCATTGTGTCCTGTCTGAACTACTACAAGAACATAACTTGTGCTTGCTTCTACTCTTCTTCCATTATCACCAACTTTCCAGACAGCAGCCAGAATATGTAAACCAGAGATGTCAACATCTTGGACAAAGTCCTCCAAAGGATTTTTAATCACACTCAAAATCCAAAATCCATAGTATGCCTAAGCAGTATGTTCTCTAGCCTGGGGATATCTAACTTCATTTCCTAACAATTCTTTCCAACAGGTTCACTCCAACTACAACATATCATTCCTTAAACATGCTAAGGCCATTCCCATCTCAAGGCCTGTGCTCTTGCTGTTTACCTTCCCTGCCACATCGCAGGGATTACTTCCCTGTTCATTCAGGTCTCCATAAATGTCAATTTCTCAAAAAGGCTTTCTTTCACTCAACCTAAGATATTCCTTACCTGGCAACTTTAACCCCACCTATCCCCTCTGTCACCACTTTGTATCCTTGTATCTTCTTGGAGTTATAATTTTATTGTCTGTCTACCCCACTAGAATGCAAAAAACTCTGAAGGTAGGGACTTGAGCTTGATCACAACTTAAGCATTTGTTAACTAATTACTTAAAAGGATCTCTCATACACTGCAAAACGTTAAGCACTTCAAGTTCTTTTGAAAGGGGGTAGGATTATAATTTAAAAATACGCGGAAGCTAAAAATTATTACATAAGTATCCAATGTTAACTTTCCTTTTTGTAAAAACTCCAAATTAGTAAATGGCATACTATTAGCTCTCTAGTTCCTTTCCTTGTCAGAGCCACCATCTAAAGAAACAGTGGACAGAATTGCAGAAGTGAAGAAAGTCACGATTTCCCCAAACCAGATTTTTCCTATCATTCTCATCTCAGAGACCCTCCTCATTCCTTTTCCTAAGGATTATTTTTGTGACCCGAATAATTAAGTTCCAAAACTCTTGCCTAGTGTGTATAACATATGTCTGCAATTTCGATTTTTTTTTTCAACGTTTATTTATTTATTTTTGGGACAGAGAGAGACAGAGCATGAACGGGGGAGGGGCAGAGAGAGAGGGAGACACAGAATCGGAAACAGGCTCCAGGCTCTGAGCCATCGGCCCAGAGCCCGACGCGGGGCTCGAACTCACGGACCGCGAGATCGTGACCTGGCTGAAGTCGGCCACTTAACTGACTGCGCCACCCAGGCGCCCCTGCAATTTCGATTTTAAGAAATATATCCTCTAGATAATCAAACACATCTCTGTTATTAGAGAAGATATGGATGAAACATAAAGTAACAAGATAGGATTCAATTTAACTTTCCTATGCAATGGCTGCTAGAAAATCAGGAAGTTACATGGCAGTACTTTTGTCACAGTCTTGATTCTTCAACTCTACTAGACTTCTCACTCCCTCCATAAAACGTAACCATTATTATTACCATTATTATTACCAACTTCTGGAAGGGCTCTTTCTCTCCTTCCAGTGTGTTCACAACTACTGTTACTATAATACGGGAACAGTTTATAAATGGTTCCAGAAGTCATCTATCCTTCTCAGAAGCTGTGTAACTTGTCCAAAACACAGTTATAATTTTATGATTTTAATGTTACAACTTTCAACATTAAAAATCCTTTACCACTTTCTTACAATATGCAAGTTTAAAAAATTGGTAATAAAAAAATAAAAATTAAAAAATTGGTAATGAACCAGTGACATCTAACTGGCTTCTAAACAGGGGCTTAAGGAATAAAAGTTACTGTATAACAATGCCAGTTACTTTACATATATTGTTTTAAATCCTCAGTCACAATCAGGTAGTTTCTTCCAACTTGTTTTGACACAGGCTTAAAGGTGAAGTGAATTGGCCGAAACTAGCTAGGTAAACAAGTTCTGGTAAATTTGACTCCTATTAGTAGAACCTCTTGTAGTCTGTCATCATTCATTCTATCTTCTGACTCAGATATTCTTAACCTAAAGTCCAGGGAATTTTGGATGGGTTTCAAACATTCTTGTCAATTTCATGAAATTGTTAAAAGACATATTTTAAAAAGAGAAATCTAAATATGTGAATATAAAATGAATACACATCAAATATTTTAAGTAATAAATCACGGAACTAGTTAAGTAGGATTTTTTATGTGTGTGTTCTGTGTTAGGAAACAGTTAAGTATTAAAAACTAGCTCAGGGGGTGCAGAGCTGGCTCATTCAGAAGACCATGTGACCCTTAATCTCAGGGTCATGAGTTTAAGGGCCCATGTTCGGTGTGGAGCCTACCTAAAACAAGATAAACAAATAATAAATTTAAAAAATTATATAAAATACCAAATCGAAGGAGAATTAAAATAAATAAGCAATGAGGAACACTGAAATGAATTTGTTAATAGGTGTAAAACTGGTTACGGCAGTAATTGCAAAATTAATTTAATTCCAAGACTAATTTCCATTATTATCGTTTTCTACAACTTACACAAAGTAAAATAACTCAATGACAATGAAAGAGATAACCTAGACAACACATACAATATAACGCTTCTTGGCCGTTTCAAGGTTCTTCATAATTTCCCTACAAAATTATACGCAAAATATTTGGACATGTACATGAATTTTCCTGGGAAACTCATCCATAGCTTTTATCGTTTTTGGAGGAAATGGTGTGTCAAAAACGTTAAGTTCTAGTCACGGCTGACCACCCAACGGTACCAGAACTCCCTTGCCTGTGTGCAAGTTCTTTTTACCTTACTTGTCTTATAAACCTCTATTCAATTTTCAAGATCCACGTTAAATGGCATCTTACTCTCTATAGCTTTCCAAGACCACTTCTTCCTTAATTAACTGCTACCTTACTTTCCCTAAAGGGCATCTATGAACGCACTCAGTACACTTAACACTTTTACTTTGTTAGCTCCTTTCCGTAATTGATTTTCGACATCCTTTGATGACAAAAACTAGAATCCTGAAAAAGAAAATGACTTAACTTCACAACACACGCCCTCACATTCGCTATCGTTTGGCCGCCAAGGCTCAGATCGACGAAGTAAGGTAATTTCCACTTTGGCTACGGCCCCCCTCAGCACCCGTCCTTTCGCAAGGACGTCGCCAAATGCTGGGCGGACCCCCAACCTCCCAACGCCGGACAATACGCGCCCCCAACCTCTGAAAACTGGAACTACAAGGGCTGCCAAAGCATTTCTGCGCGTGCGCACAGAGAACTAGCACAAGCAAACTGATGGGTTTGCGGGAGGGGCGAGGTGAGAAGAACGATAGATAAAATGGACTGCATGAAAAAAGAGAAACTGAGACCTCGCTCAACCTGACCAACACTATCTACAGTCTACTTGGAACTTACTCCGCTCAATTCCCAACACACAGGGCTGGGGACTGCGTCTTCCAACCTTTTCGTCTCTGGATCCTTATGGTCCGGGTTTCCGCGTCATAGGACGAGCGACACCGTTCTCCCGTACGCCTCGGAAAAGACGAGCACGGAGACCGCGCGTCCGTCGCTTACGTCACAAGCGTGAGCTGGCGAAGGGGGCGGGGCGTCGGAGTACGCGGCTGGCCTAGGCTCTCAGCGAAAAGTTTGGCGGTTTGAAAATGCTGCTTCTCGTGGGCGGGCCAAGTATTGGGTCCTGATTTGTTCCGGTCGCGGGCTAATGACGTCACAGTTTTTCGCGGGAGAAATTCGAAAGTGGATTTCATGCAATGGACCGGTGAAGTGAACTGTTTTCCCGGGATTGAGGGTGGATAGGCAAGGGGATTTTGAGCGAGAGGCAGCGTCACTGATTTAGGGCAAAGAGTTAAAAGAATCTGTTCCGCCAGAAGCGGACTGGTCCGGGTGCCGTGCGGACCACGTTTGGGTAGTGACTGTCGCAACTTGCTCCGAATCCCTGTAAAATTGCTGCCTCCTCTTCGCCGCGTTTCCAAGCCTCTGCTCTGCAGTTCCCGCATACGTGTAAGGACCAGGGAGGGTTTTTCTGTTTGTTTTTAGGACTGACAAAGGGTCAAGTCTCATTGCCACTTGGTTAACACAGGATCATGGTAATTACTATCTTGGTAAATGAAGTGTGGGCTTCTTTTGGTTACTTGGACTGACTGGTTTCTTAAACAGGATATTGGGTTCGAGACTCAAACTTTTGAATCTGAACCATTTAGGGATTCTAAAGGTCCTGCTTGTTCCAGAATAAAAGACCAAAAAAATTTTGTGGTACTTAAAAGGAAGTGGTACTCATTGAGAACACTGAATTTTATATATGAATGTACAAAGCAGTGTAAGGATGTGTGAGTATGTATGTGTGTGGTGGGTGTGTTTGTATGTGTCTGGTTATATATTCATCACACCATCTGAGGGCTCCATACCACTTTAAAAGTTTTCCACATTAAACTTTGACCCTTTAGTGGATCAACACTTGATGTGGTTAGATGAAGACTTTAAGGAAAATTTTTTTTCTTTTCAAAATTTTATGTAAATTATAGTTAATTAACATACAGTGCAATTTTGGTTTCAGGAGTAGAACTCCGTGATTCATCTCTTGCATACAACACCCAGGGCTCTTCACAAATGCCCTCCTTGGTACCCATCATGCATCTACTGTCTCCCACCTTCCTCCCTCCATCAACCCTCAGTTTGTTTTTTATCCTTAAGAGTCTCTTATGGTTTGTTTCCCTTTTTTCCCCCCATCCTGTAAGTCTCTGACTGACTTATGTGGCTTAACGTAATATACTCTAGCTTCATCCACATCGTTGCAAATGGAAAGATTTCATTCTTTTTGATCGCTGAGTAATATTCTATTGTGTGTACATGTATATATGTATAGATACAACACATCTTCTTTATCCATTCATCAGTTGCTGGACATTTGGGCTTTTCCCATAGTTTGGCTATTGTTGATGTTGCTATAACCATTGGGATGCATGTACCTCTGAATCTGTACTTTTTTTATCCTTTGGGCAAATACTAGTGCATTTGCTGGACTATAGGGTAGTTGTATTTTTAACTTTTTGAGGAACCTCCATTATGTTCTCCAGGCCCGGGGCTGCTCGCCCCGGGCCTCCTCGCTGCACCAGTTTGCATTTCTACCAACAACTCAAGAGGGTTCCCCTTTCTCCACATCCTGGTCAACACCTGTTGTTTCTTGTGTTGTTTACTTTAGCCATTCTGACAGGTGTGAGGTGGTATCTTATTGTGGTTTTGATTTGTATTTCCCTTATGCTGAGTGATGTTGAGCATCTTTTCATGTGTCTTGTTTGCCATCTGAATGTCTTCTTTGGAAAAATGTCTATTCGTGCCTTCTGCCCATTTCTTAACTGGATTGTTTATTTTTGGGGTGTTGAGTTTGATAAGTTTGTTATAGATTTTGGATAGTAACCCTTTATCAGATATGCCACTTGCAAATATCTTCTTCCATTCCGTAGGCTTCCTTTTAGTTTTGTTGATTGTTTTCTTCCCTGTGCAGAAGCTTTTTATCTAAATAAAGTCCCAATACTTCATGTTTGCTTTTGTTTCCCTTGCCTTCCACAATGTCTCTAGTAAGAAGTTACTCTGGCCAAGGTCAAAGAGGTTGCTGCTTGTTCTCTTCTAGGATTACGATGGTTTCCTACCTCACATTTAGTTCTTTCATGCATTCAAATTTATTTGTTTGTTTGTTTATTTATTTATTTTAAGAGAGACAAACATGGCATGAGCTGAGGAGGGGCAGAGGGAGCTAGAGAATCCCAAACAGGCTCTGTGCTGCCAGTGCAAATCCTGATATGGGGCTTGATCTCACGAATTGTGAAATCATGACCAAAACCAAGAGTTGGACACTTAACTGACTGAGCTACCCAGGCACCCCCATTTTGAATTTATTTTTGTGTATGGTGTAAAAAAGTGGTCTGGTTTCATTCTTCTCCATATTGCTGTCTGGTTTTCTCAACACCATTTGTGGAAGAGACTGTCTTTTTTCCATTGGATATTCTTCCCTGCTCTGTCAAAGATTAATGGACCGTATAATTATGGGTTTATTTCTGGGTTCTTTATTCTGTTCTATTGATATATGTGTCTGTTTTTGTGCTAGTACCATACTGTCTCTATGACTGCAGCTTTGTAATATAGCTTGAAATCCAGAATCAGGATGCCTCCGATTTTGTTTTTCTTTTTCAGGATTGCTTTGGCTATTTGGGGTCTTTTGTGGTGCCATACAGATTTTAAGATTGTTCTAGCTGTGTTAAGAATGCTGGTGTTACTTTGATAGTGATTGCATTGAATATGTAGATTCCTTTTGGTACTATAGACATTTTAACAATGTTTTTTCTTCCACTCCATGAGCATGGAAAGCTTTTCCATTTCTTTGTGTCCTCCTCAATTTCTTTCATAAGTGTTCTATAGTCTTCAAGAGTATAGGTCTTTTACCTCTTTATTTATCTAGGTTTATTCCTAGGTATCTAATCGTTTTGGTGCAATTACAAATGGGATAGATTGCTTGATTTCTTTTTCTGCTGCTTCGTATTGGTGTATAGAAATGCAACAGATTTCTGCATGTTGATTTCATATCCTGAGACTTTGCTGAATTCACGTATTCTGGTAATTTTTTTGGTGGTGTCTTTCCGGTTTTCTACATAGAGTATCATGTCATCTGCAAATAGCAAAGTTTGACTTCTTCCGTGCTGATTTGGATGCCTGTTGTTTTCTTTTTGTTGTGTGATTGCTGAGGCTGACTTCTAGTACTATTTAAATAGTAATGGTGAGACTGGAAATCTGTCTTATTCCTTCCTGACTATAAGGAAAAGCTCTCAGTTTTTCCCCATTGAGGATGATATTAGCTGTGTGTCTTTCATATATGGCTTTTATGATGTTGAGGTATGTTCTCTCTATACCTACTTTTTGAGGGTTTTTATCAAGAATGGATGCTGTATTTTGTCAAATGCTTTTCCTACATCTTTTGACAAGATCATATAGTTCTTATCCTTTTATTAATGTGTATCACGTTGATCGATTTGTGAAGACTGAATCACCCTTGCAGCCCAGGAATAAATACCACTTGACCATGGTGAATAATTCTTTTAATATACTGTTGGATTTGATTTGCTGATGTCTTGTTGAGAATTTTTGCATCCGTGTTCATCATTGATATTGGCCTGTAATTTTTCTTTTTAGCGAGGTCTTTGTCTGGTTTTGGAATCAAGGTAATGCTGGTCTTGTAGAATCAGTCTGGGAGCTTTCCTTCCAATTCTATTTTTTGGAACAGTTTGAGAAGAATAGTTACTAGCTCTTCTTTTAAAAAAAAAAATTTATAGGGGCGCCTGGGTGGCGCAGTCGGTTAAGCGTCC